AACAGTCTGCTGTCACTTCGAGAGTCGCAGACAGGACAGGACAGTCAGAGTTTGATGACTAAGTCCCTTCACACTCTCCGTTGCCAACCAGCACTCAGGGCGAATCCTTCACAGGAAAAGTTTCCGCTCCGCTCTGATGCAGATTGATAATGAGTCCTTTCTCAGGGGCAGGTGGACCCTATTAATATGCAGAAGTTTTCAACACAAGTAACCTTTCCTCCAGGGCCCATCGTCAAGTTATAATGAAACATGATGAATAAGGTAATCAGCAGTAATCACAGAAAAAAGGTTAGGGTATATAAACATGTAAAATAACCTCTACCAACTTTTATGCTGTTAGATCTACCAGCAAAACAGCAACAGGGTACAAGTCATTTTCAGTGGAGGCAGGTGACATGAAGCTACAAACTGATGCCTAACCCTTGTCGCTGCTGACAGGTGCTACAAATCAAGAGCTCAGCTAGCTTCACCTTTTTTCAGCGCTGCAGTGACGAGGTGAAACATCAACAAATCTATGTTGTTTCTAGCTCCTTATTTAGCATCGTTAGCGGACACAATGCTAACTTGGGGAGGTGAAATTCAGCAGTGATCAAAAGCATGGATTTTTTTTGACCAAATACAAACTTTAGATGATGCTCAGTCAAGGTGTGTTGTGGCAAGTTGCAGACACACAAGCCCAGGGTGATAGATTGCAGAGCACGGTGTTAATGTATCTGGTCACACCGTTGCAGTGTTGCCCATAGTGTGAACACAGCTTTGGAAAGCAACGTTTAAAGGTGACACTTTAATTCCTCACACTTTTTATGTAATCGAAAATGTTACTGTTGCTACTGTGTACACTTTTGCATTTCAGAAGAGGATAAAACCATTTTGGACACATTTTCAGAAATGGTGTCCAAGCTTCAGGCCTCTAGCGACATTGTTGTGGCTGTTTCAACGTACCAGAGTTTTTAGTCCACTTAGTTTGTGAGGTTTCTCAGTTTTGACTCGTGTTTCCTTTTCTTAAGATCCACAGTGCTCACATGAGGCAGGGAAAAAGGCTAACAAAGTTTATCGAGAATCCAAAAAAGAAACAAAACAACAGGCCCAGTCCTTCCAAAATTGTATCATGTACAATCCGCTACCGACTATACATCCTGTTTCTATATATTCTCATCATATTACCCATTATTATACTTCAACACTGCATAACATGGTCAAAAACTTATTACAACTCAAATCAACACAAACTTTACATCATCTTTTCCGCATGATGTTGTCCACAATCTCCTTTTGTTATGCACACTAAACTGTCTTACAACACAACCCCTGGCATAAATAACTTGTGCCTATATTCTAACACATAAATAAAGTAAATATAAACATACCTTTAGTATAGTCCACCACCATACACTATTCAGAATATACAGAAACTGCTGTGTAAACTTAAATATCGCCAAAACCTGTATGATATGTCATATCAACGCACAAATTGGCTCTTACAGGCATGTTTCCCATTGACATCTTGAACTGACATTTAAAGGCCAGTGTTGCCTTGTAGTCTGATTGATACAAGACTTTTTTGCCCTTTTTTAAAGGCGCTGTATGTAAGAATGTGACCAAAACGGTTACTGCACTCAAATTCAAAATACTGCCGCGAGTCGTGTCCGCTCCCCCTCCCCTACAGATTTGAGGTTGCTGGACAGCGGCATGCTGGAGACTGATTTGTTTGGCCACAGGCGGCTGCCGTGGCAGGGCCACGTTGCTGCGTCCTTGATCTTCAGCTTTCCAGCGGACTGTTCGAGCAAGTCCGGCTTCTCTGCTGCTAACGCTGCTGCCGGGATACAGTGGAGGAGGAGCTGGCCGCTAATGCTATGTACCGGGACACTGCTAATGCTGCTTGCCATCACAGAATTTGTTGTGATAGTTTGAGGAATTAAATAACTGGGCATCAAAATCAATTTGGTGTTCATCCAGCTTTTTGCTCTGTTGTTGGGTAATTTCACCGCACACATTAAAGCAGCTTCAACTGTATCTGCACACTGCTGAGACTGATTTGTTTGCCCACGGGCGGCTGCCGTGGCAGGACCGCATTGCTGCGTCCTTGATCTTCAGTTTTCCAGCGGACCGTTCGAGCAAGTCCGGCTTCTCTGCTGCTAACGCTGCTGCCGGGATACAGCGGAGGAGGAGCCGGCTGCTAATGCTATGTACTGGGACACTGCTAATGCTTCTTGCCGTGCTGCTAACGTTTCTTTCTTAAAAAATCAGTCGGGTTGATGACCCACCTGCACATGGGCTACAATGTATGATCGAAAATGAATAACAGTTGAAAGTATTCAAAATGTCCATCCCCGTCTAGCTATGATGTTAGTTAGCCAACTTTGGCTAAAGCTTACCTGTCGAGGAGAAGAGTAGCCACTTCGACTTCCGATTTCAGATTCTTCTCCGCTTTCAACTGTCTCCACCGTTCAAAAGCATCTCCTATATAGACCCTCGCTTTGCCTCGAGTTTTGTCTTGGCTTTTTTGGGAATCATTACTAGGTCGTTTGGGTTTAGTCTCACCGTCAGCCATTGTAGCTCAGTTGTAACTGTAACTGATGCTGAGACTCTACTGACTGTGTGACTGGTAGATGGCGGTGGATGGCGCAACAGGCCAAAACACAAATTCAAAACATAAACATGATTTGCAGGCCGTAAAATTTTTTTTTAAATGCGAATATTCTGGCTGTACTATTGTTGTCGGTGAGATCAGTGTGTTATATGAACATTAGACCTCAGTCTCTGTGACATATTAGGATGATTTTACAACTACTTGCTTTAGATTTCTTACATATAGCTCCTTTAAAGGCCAATGTTACCTTGTAGTCTGATTGATACAAGACCATTTTTTGGCCTTCTAACAAGGCTACATAGCGCTAATTATTTACTGTTGGTAATTTCAAGGTGAAGTTCTGGAGAAAGATTCATTTCCAGGTTGTCAAGTAGCCAAACCACTAGCCTAAAGAGTTGGTATATGAGATCTGGAAATGAGACTCAACAGTCAACTGTCTTTCTCCAGAATTACATACTGCTCCTTTAATATATACAACCCATCGTGCTGTTAAGGTTGTATTTCACTCGACAAGTGGAAGCTAGCAAATTTGGCTGAAAGTGGAAGCCTAATTTGCTAACATTAGCACTGATTCTAACAGGACGTTAGCTTTGGTTTATGTTAGCAGCTCTCACACTCAGTGCTGTGTTCGCCCTGCAATTTATAAAGAAGGGGATCTCACTAGGGTCACCTGTCTCTTTTTCATTGCTTTTTGTCCATAGAAACAGAAATTACCATGGGCACTTTATGGACACTATGGACACTTTATAAACACCGTAGCTGTTTGCTGTTTTTTGCACATACAATCACTTGCACTAGATGTGCTCTCTTTAATCCACTGCTCATTTTTATTCACTTCTCATTGTTATCATTATGATTATTATTATTATTATTACTTATCATCGTTTGTTGTATTTTTGTACTTTATTTTTGCATGCCTAGTTTTTTTTAAAGTTTTTTTTAAGTTTAAATTTTGAAATTTTTTATCTTTCTCCTTGACTGCTGTAACACTGGAATTTCTCAATTGTGGGATCAATAAAGGTGTATCTTATCTTATCTTATCTTATCTTATCTTATCTTACAATTGGCCCTAATGCATGCTATTGTGCACATATTATCTCGTCACATGGTCAGAGACTTGACATTGGATAACATGAACATATATATTACTCAGTGATCATCATTGCAGATCTGTACATCACAAAAAATACCAAAGAAAATAATAAATTAAGAAATTATTAATTGAATATAACAATTTTAATAGTTGATTTATAGTTATAGATTATTTGACTCATAGAAAAGTTGATTTATAGATAGATAGACTGATAGAATAAGCATATTTTACTGTGTTTTTTATTGTGATATGGATCCCCCTGGGTCTAAAGAATGAATTATTATTTTGTCATATATTTTTGTTATAGATGCTATCAAGTGTTTTACAAATAAAGAAAAAATAAACATGACGGAGATGAGAGTTCTTTGAACACAGGCATATTTCAAGGTGGCAGTCACTCATAACGACCCATTCTCCACCCAACGCATTGTGGGCCCCAGTGCAACCACACCACCGGCACTGTCTATATTTACACTGCTGATTTGAATGATGACACTGGGTAACATACGGAGCACTTGCAGCAAAAAGAGCCGGTTACCAACACTAGCCAGCTGGTTAACTGCTTATGTGGCTGTTGGAGTCGTAGTGATATTGTGATTTATTTTCAGTTCCCACCTACACAGATATTGGAACAATTGCATTACAGCACCAACATCTTCAGTCCAAATATTCATGCCACCTGGAGAACATTAATGTAGGAGGTGCTATCACAGCAGAAAAGTAGATTAATCTGAACATTTCTTCTTTTTTGGTGATTGAAATTCTGACCACATCAAAACACAAGTCAACACAAACACGGCTGATATATGTGCTGAAGTATTTTTATTTCAGTTCAACTTTAAACCTCGCTCTCAGTCCTGTGTACCAGCTGTCAAAAAGGGAATACAAGTTGACCTGGAGAGAGGGTGACAGGGTCTTGATGGTTGCAATATATCCTAGAATGGCTCCTCACCAGCTCCTAACAGGACATGTCTCCACCTTGATCCCCATGAGAATGTACTCGCTTCTATTTTGAGTCTCTCTGCTTGACTGCGCTGCCAGTCAGTTAGAGAACGGAGCACACTCTCTCTTTTTCTTTCTTTTTTTTTGCTGCTGCAAGGCATTAAATTTGAATGTTTGATTAGTTTACCGTAAAAGCATTATGCAAAGAAAATGTTTAAGTTGACTTTGGCTCAGTCGTCCTAAATGTCATTTAAAACAAATTCCTGAGAGCTGATCTGATCAGGCACCCAGTAATCTTTTTTTTTCCTGCTTCATACATGCTGCTATAAATAACCTGCAATGACTGAAACGCTTCTTTTTCTCTCTCTGTCACAGCATCCTGTTTGCAGATATCGTCGGTTTCACCAGTCTGGCCTCCCAGTGCACAGCCCAGGAACTGGTTAAACTGCTAAACGAGCTGTTTGGAAAGTTTGATGAGCTTGCCACAGTGAGTCCATTTCCCTTCTTTGAACACGTATCCCTCAATTAAAACCGCTGCTGGCATGAAAAGCTGCTCTTTTTCTGTGTGTGTACACTTTGTCCAAACTTTGACACGGCAAGGATGAGTGTGTGTGTGTGTACTGCTTTGGCCACAGGCTGCTGGCACATGCCACTATTGTACCAGCTTAGCATGATGTCACTGTGAATACTGGAAGCCCATATGATGCATAATATGATTATCCAGTGCTTCATTTGAGGAAGAGTTGACAGACCTCTTTAATCTAGGCCAGATTTACCCAGAGCTAAACCTCGCGTCCACTCCGGTTGTGCGAATGAACTGAATAAAGGCACCACTGAGTCCTACTTGTCCCAATCTCTCTCTTGGTTCACATGTTGAAAAAGATTTCAGCTCTCCCATCTGTCAATATATCACTCTTTGTGATTTCAGCGCTGAAAATCCGCTCAACTTTTGCCGTGAATTTGACCGCTGCGGTTAATCTAGTCGCTTTGGAGTGTGACGCTATCCATGCTGGTGTTACAAAATCTTTTAATCAAAACAAAAACAAAAAACACACAGCTACCTTGATGTGCTTTTACTTTAAATTCTGGTAGTCGCAATCAAAGCACATGCTGCAGAAAAGCTATGACATCTCTCCCTCTCGAACACTGCAAATTTGGCTGACACATGTATTTTTGTTGGTGAGAAGGTTGAGCCCCTGAGCCCCTGCAGATCCCCCTGCCACAGCCTTATCTACATGTAATCTGGCCTCTATTACTTACACTGGGCACATGCCCTTGTCAAATCCATTAATCCACAGGATTACAACTAACCCTTTTATGCTTTCATAGAAGGTTTTACTTGGCCGGTGTCGGGGGTTTCTATTTTTAACTTGTTTGTTTACACGCACAAAATTAGAACCGACTAAAAAGAGAGCGTCTCTCATTTAACTTGCAACTGTCAAACAATTGTCATTGCCTTTCCAATTAGTCTTGGATCAGTTGCTCTACCTACCTCTTGCTGTTTTGCATCAGCTGTAGTCTGAATGTATTCCTGGGAAAGTTGCATTTTACCCCGAGATGCTATTAGCCAAAACAAGATGATTCCATGCATGGGTGGCTTATGAGACAATAGGCCCCTGGGCACAGACATGCAGAAGGCACCACCACCGCTCCTGTATCACAGCAAGACACAGACTTCATGGTTGTGTAACCTCATTTTATTGTTTTGAATCTTTTTGTAGTCATTAGGCATCTCTATTGGGTTTTGTGTCTCTGTGGTGTTTTGTGTCCTTTGGTAGACGCTTTGCTTCTCTTTGTAGTTGCTTTGCATCTCTTTGTGGTCATTATGCAATCGGTCTCATTACGAAGTTGTCCAAATCTGATGCTTTGGCAGCATCAGACACACACAAAAAAAAGCTGTCCTTTAACATTGGCATGACATGCAGCCAGTTGCTGTCATAGTTTAAGGGCACCCGGTGGCATCAGGGTACCCTGGAAATCCAGAGTTCTCACGAGAGCACAATTTGAATTTGCTCAGCGAGTCACTCTGGCAACCAGTAATGATGCTCATTACCCATGCCGCTGGAGCCGAGCTGCACCAATCACATCGGTGTATCTGATATAGGCGGGCCAGAGGCGAGCTAAACAGATGACGACAGCGCTGCGACGACCAAGTCCAGAATCAGTCAGTAAACATTGCAAGATGGCTACGGATGAACACCAGTTGTTTGAAATGGCTTTGGCCGCTACAATGAACGAGTTAGACTTGGCTTTTTCTCTAAAAGAGGAACAAAAGACGGCGCTCGAATCTTTCATTTGCAAGAAGGACGTTTTTGCTGTTTTGCTGACCAGATACGGCAAGAGTCTAAGTTAGCTCCACTGGTAGCTAAGCATATACGTCACCCCATGTATTGTTCTGATTGGTCGTAGTGTTATCCAGTTGCGTGCAGTGATATTTTCAAATGCATGCTTGGTGCCGCCCCTCGAGTTGGGCCATTTGCATTACTCATAGCCAGACCCTAAATCTTTCTAGATTTGGGTCTGGATTTCCAGGCTAGCGTCAGGGGGAATCAGGCAGGACAAGAACAAAAGTTAAGGCAGCAGAAGTCCGAGTAGGGTGGGTGGGAGGAATGGTACATGGGTCCAGCAAACACCGACCTTCACCCGGGAGAGCGGTGTTTGTGTCCCAAACCCTATTCTTTTTTCCTAAACCTAACCACATGCTTTTGTTGCGTAAACCCAACCATGTACGTTTGTTGTTAAAGGACAAAAAACATCAATTCACAGTGTTGTACCGAGGTAGTGCATTTATTTTGAAAGAGACTGTATGTAAACGGTACATTTCCTGTCAGAATGAAAGTGTATTTTGAAAGAAGTCAATGCATGTAACAGGCAGAACTTGACACGGTGTCCAGAATGTCAACAACCAACACACCCAGGGTACCTTGCACCTCGTATCTGGATGTGGAAGGACACAACCAAACGTCGATATGTGACTATATGTTTTGTAGTCGTCTCTCTTTGTATCTCTTTGTAGTTGTTTTCTGTCTTTGTAGCTTTTTTGTCTCTTCCTGTTCAGCATGTGTTGATTTGAGTGACATTTTGCAGATGAAAGCCAAGGAAGGGCCCTGACACTTCAGGCCTGTTCATTAATCCATCCATGATCCCATGCATTACAACGCACTCAGAGACACACTCTTATTTATAAGTTAAGTCATGTCAACAAGTTGATGCACTTGAATTTAAGCCCTTTCCCCCTTCATTTCAAAGATGCTACAATTCATTTAGCTTCAACTGATACATTTTCACTTTCATCTCCTGAAGCGTTTTGGCTCGGAGGAATGTTATCTTGAGCTACTTCAATTCTGTTGTGATTGGAGCTGTCTCATTCTGTGGGTTACAACTGGTCTGATCTCTGCTTGGCTGCTAGCTGGGAGCCTCGTGTTACACTGAAAGGCTGTCCCCAGCCATGAATCTTGTCATCAAATGTTCTAGCCTTGCCCTGACCCAAAGCCCCACTCATTCTGATCCACTTTGGCAGGAAGTGGCAGTGCCAGTGACTCATAGCTGTGGTCACTGTGGGCACGCAGACTCTTCTCGTTCCATACGAAGAGCGGGCGATGCCACATGGCCACTGGGCATCATCTCATAATACCATTCCAGCACCATCCCCACACCACCTGTCCACTCTTTGGACTTGTCAAGCTGCATGGGAAGTGGGCCAGGAACGCAGTGTACTCCTAAAGTGCTGTTGTAGTAGACTGAGTCTCCTCTCCTCTCCTCTCCTCTCCTCTCCTCTCCTCTCCTCACACCATCCAGCCAAAATGCTAACACAATAGAAGATAACACAGAGAATATGAACTAGGCAGTCTCATCTCCTTTTAACCTCAGCTAACAAACTCAAACCAGCCTTCTGAATTTGACACATATTCCCTTTCACACCTAATCTTAGACGTTAGATAAAATTAGACATTTTTGTGTTTGAGCATTTAGGAACATGTTGCCACTTTTCAACCTTATCTGCATTTCAATCATCACAAATGCTCACAAAAGGAATGTACTATTTCCGTTTACCCAGAGAGACGGCCTTTGATTTACTCAATTTCAATATCAAGCACTGACATGTTATCTCCTTACAAAATTGATATGTGTTAACATGTTAGCGCACATGGAGCAACATTAACATTTATTGAGAGTCATGTTTTTGGCCCCCTGGCAAATGTAAGCTCTTGTTTGGTCCCCATTAACCTCTAAGGGAAGCATCTGTCTTTTTAGTTGCTAAATGCTCTACCATGTTCACCATTGCTGAAAACAGCTGCCTGCTGCTGGAAAGGAGGTTGATAAGAGCAGTGAGAGCAAACCGAAACGGTCTGGTTGCAGGACATGAAACCAAAACAAACCAAAACAATGAGCTAAATGATGCTAAAACAAAGATATGAAAATATTTATTAGGGACACTCTAACTGTACGTTCAAACCAGAAGCTTCCAAAGAGGCAAAGTCTCTCACGGATGCCCAAGAAGCACGACTGTTGAAAATATTTGTGGCAGCTTTGGCCGCTCTAGTTGCTCATCACGTGAATCATTGAACATTCGATCATGCTTGTCAATTAAAGGAGCGGCAAACTAGACCTACCAACTACCTCCGCGACGCGGTCCCAAGCCCCATTCTTTTTATTTTGGTCTCTGTAACCGAACAGCGACATATTATAAAGGACTGAGTGGGCGCGAACGCAAGTAATCAGCTTCTCGATATCCATTGTCGGAACAAGTGTGCTGTAGGAACCAACGTTACACGGCTTGTTCTCTGGGACCTGCTTCATCGAAGCACGTCAGCATTCCAATTGGTTGTCACCGAACTGCGTCAGAGCTCATAACCATAAAGTAAAACCAGTTTTAACTCCCCTTCGGACCCGCTCCAGTCGCCCAAGACGCGTGGCTAACGACCAGGTTGCCCAAGTCGCCCAAGTCGCCGGGCTCTCATTGAAAATTTGGAAGCTCTGGTCATTGTTAGTTTGAGCGTACAGTAAGAAATTTGCTTTTTCTCTGTCTGACTGTGCTGCATTAGCTTTGCAAGCTAACAGTCAGTAAGGGATATAATAAAGCAAAAAATAAATAAATAAAAACTCAACTCAGTGGTCAGGTTTGGACTTTAAATTTGGTTGCACCAGCATTTATCAAGTGTGTGACCCTATCCAACGTTGATCATCACCAGCCACCACAAGTACAAGACGGTTTCCAACCTACAAAAACAAGCCAAGAGTTTACTGCTGGCTCCCACTGTTGCACATATTGATATGAAGGAATAGGAAAAGAGAGCTTGACGGTTTGACTTCACTTTACTATTGGTTTTAATGCACATGTTCAGGATCTGAAATTAGCACCCTCCAAAGGCGACAAAATTCTTGGCAGTGGCGTGTTAAATTGTCGGGCCATCTGCCATTTTGGCAGACAAAGAATGATAACAACAGAAAGACATGCCGTAACTGCTTTATAAAAATACTATTGGC